TGTGTGTGTGTGTGTGTGTGTGTGTGTGTGTGTGTGTGTGTGTGTACTCTGGGACGTCCCAGTTCTAGGACCAGGTAATCAATTCCTAGTTTGAGGTTTTCCAAATCCCCTCTGAAGTGGGTGTTGGGTGATTTTAGGGTTCCAAAAGGAATCTCATGAAGTACAAGATGACTAGAGATCCTGGCAGGTCACAGCTGGGTGTGTGGAAACTTCAACGGCAGTGTTTTCCAAAGTGAAACAACCTGAGTGTTTCCCAGAGGGCGTTTCGGGGTGTGGTTTCCCCGCCCACTTTTCTGTGGACATGAATACTACAACATGTGGTAGGTCTTCATTGTTCAGTGAGGTCCTGGTATTAGTCAGGGTTCTCTACAACACAAGCAATATTATACGTAATTGATAAGAGGGGATTTATTAGATTGGCTTACATGATTGGAGGCTGAATGGTCCCCACAGTGGCCATCGGCAGGGTGAAGACCTAGAGAAATTCCAACTCTAAAAGCTGGAAGCTTCAGGAAACAAACAAACAAACAAACACCAGACCAGAGATGCAACCCCGGCAAAAGCTGAGGGTCTAAAAATCCCCGGAGGGCTGCAGGTCCAAGTTCTCATTGTCAGCACCCCAAAACCATACCTGCTTAAGAACCTCCCAATGTGAGCACACATGGAGTTCTTTCTCTACTCTTCTGTTCTATTGGGGGATGCCACTCATCGAAGGTGTGTCTTCTGTTCAGTTCTTAGGCCCACACACCCATCGTTCTTCTCCGGAGGCCGCCTTATGAGAATCCCCAGAAATACGCTTTACCAGTTTTCTAGGCATCTCCAGTCCTCTACCATAGGGTCACTAGCCACATAAAGCTATTGAATACTTGGAATAATTAACCCAACCTGAGATGTCCCGTAGGTGTAGAACATACCGAAACGTGAAGGCTTGATGATATCACAGGAGAGAATGAGAAAGTCAAATACGGGGCCTGGAGAGATGGTCAAGTCGTTAAGAGGGTATGCTGCTCTTGCCAAGGACCCAGGTCAGTTTCCAGCGTCCATATGTTTCCTGACAATTGTCTGTAACTCCAAGGGATATAATGGCCTCTGAGCGTCCAGGCATGCACGTGGTGAACATACATATACGTAGGCAAAACCCTCACACACATAATAATGAGTAGACTTTAAAAATATCTCTTTGTTTTTGTTTTGTTTGATTTTAATCAGTCACATTAAAAAAAGATGACATTTTGGGCTGCGGGTTTCACTGATGGCGCTAAAGGCGGAAAGACTACCTTTGTGCGCTGGGCGGAGGAGGGGTAGAAGGGATGCTCTTGGGGGCTGGACCGAGGGGTGGTGAGGTGTACTCCAGGGCCACCGAAACCTACGAGGGCTGGAAGGGTAGGGGTCCACTGGAAGGGTAGGTCCCTCCCACCCAGCTCTGATGGAGCTGAGAGACTCAGGCGTCAAAAGCGTCCCTATAGGACTAGACGGAGCCGGAACCTTCTATCCGGGAGCGTAGCCTGCCCCAGGGCCCCAGCTTTGAGCGGGTGAACCCGGCACTGCCAGCGGCGGCACAGGTAAGGGCGAATCTGTGGATTCCCGCTGTCTGGTGGGGCCGCAGCTTTGCTCCAGCCCCAGGGACTCTGGAAAAAGTTATCCTGAGAACCCTCTTTCTGCCAGGATGCAGTCGGCCTCGATCCCCAGGCACACCCCAAAGCCAAAGCCAGGGTCCGGGCAGCTCCAAACAGCAGAAGGATGCTGGACCCTATTGGGGGTCTTCATATTCTCTGGCAAGTTACCTCCTGCGGCACCAGCAGGCATAATAAACGGCATCGTGTTGGCAAAATAATGAAAACAATATAGGACTGGAGAGGGTGCTCAGTGGTGAAGAACATTGGTTGCTTTTCAAGGGGGCAGGGGTTCATTTGGCAGCACCCACACGACAGCTCACAATAGTCTATAATTTCCAGGGGATCCAATACTCTTCTGGTCTCGGAGGGAACCAGACACTCATGTGGTACACAGACATACATTCAAGCAACATACACACACACACACACACACACACACACACACACATAAGAAAAATTAATTTAAAAAATGACAATCGGGATAAATTAGGTTAAATGTGATATCTGTAATGATAAATATAATATTTTTGCCTTGTTCTTTTTACTTTTTCATTGTGTTTGTAGCCTGCATTTGAGTCTATTTTATTTTCTATCCAACAGTTGTTGCTCTGAAATGACCGTATTAGAAAGGTTCCCATTCATCACAATTTCCATGGCATGCTGGAAATT